CGAAAATATAAGTAAATGAGTATGAAAAATCTCAAAACTCAGTTAGGTTAATTTGAAGGCACCACCGGGTTGTATATACAGCAGAGAAGTAACTAAAAATAAGTGATAGCATATACATACTCTGACCGGATTGTGTAGCGAAGAAGAAGATGACCCTTCCTTTTGTTCATCGCCATTCTCCTTTTATAATTCATCCTTCCCCAAACAAACTTGAATGGCTTCTTCTTCTGCATAACCTTTTCCTCTGTGATCTCATGGCCTTTTTCCATGTTGAAATAAACCAACCAGCTACAAGCTCCTTGTGGTGTCTACCTCACTCCCCAGTTCATACAAAAAAAAACTGCATAGATACACGAATGTTGTGGTCACACACGAATACGACTTCACATTCTAGATGTGAACTTGAACTGGCTTTTTTTAGCCCTTCGTACAATTTTCCAAAAGCATCCAGCCTCAAAAAACACAAATTAGGAAAGTTGGGCCTGGTCATAGCATCAGAAATTTACAAAATCTTTCCGGGAAAATGCTATGCTTATTAAAAAAGTTCATTAAATTTTTTGTACTAAATGATGTGACACAATTTTCGATAGTAAATATTAATAAAATCTATTTATCCAATGATAAAAAAATGGTGTCACACCATTTGTGACGGAGATTTGATAAAAAAGTTTGATAACCATTACATTACCCTGGTGGGCTGGCAGGCCCTTCGCTTCCATGAATGAGAAAGTCACGTACAATCTTCCCCAAGAACATGTGCAATCTTCGTGCTCTTCGTCTCAAATTATAAAAGAATGTGCAATTGTTTTTGTTTTTTTTGTTGGTTGAGAACAAAGGTTGGGATAAAGGAGAGTGCTCAAAAATCACTTCAATAAGTTTTTACTGGTGGGATCGTGAGATTCCTGACCGCGCTCATTACTTATCCAAAAAACGAACATAACTAAGCTAGCATGGCGGTGAATCACCGAGCCCGAATATAGATTCTAGGATTTAAATCTCTAACTTCAGAGTGAGAAATTCAGCCGATACACCTGTGATAAGGAATGTGCAATCTTTTGGCAAGAAAAACAGCCCTATTGAGAAGCAAGGAGGAGACCACCTTGTGTGGGCCCGCCTTCTAATTTTTCCAATCTCCACGCCGAGTATTATGGAGTTCTCATCACAACATTGTGGGTTATTAAACCATTATTAAGGGGTCAAACCTAGTCCATATCGTCTTTTATTTTTTTCCAACGCATTGGGCTGGCAAAATACAAAACTAGGTATCTGTTTCGTCCTCCTTTCTCTCTTCCTTCCTCAAAACCCAGCTTTATGAAGTCCTCTCATGTCTCAACCATTCAGTCTTCTGAACATCATTACGAACACAAGCTTCGCTAAATAGCGCCCAAAAAACAAAAAAAAAGTGTGCTTTACATGAGGGTACCCTTCTAAAAATGAGATCATTGTTGAAAATTAATTTTAGTTTGGTTTGATAATTTACATTTTTGAAGGGATATGATTGAAAAACACATTGTTTGAAGAGTTGTGACTGTAAAAAAATCCATTGTTTTAAGACTTTGGATTTTTATTTTTTTTCTTTTGAAGGGGAATGGGAAAAGAGACTTGAATTCTTCATGTCACGAAGGTAAAGCCTTTACATGACAAGGAATACTATTAGACCAAAACACTCTAACGAAAAGCGCTCTAATGAAAAAATTCAAATTTAATTGAGGAAAAATTCAAAACTAAGTAAGATAAAATATGACTATTGAATATTTGAACAAATGCACTATGTACTTTATATAATCATTCAGGGGTAGAATTAGATAAAAAAAAAAACCACCCATTACGTATTTTAAGAAAAAGTATGTTTTGGGAAAGTAAGAAAAATTATGTTAAAAGCTAGACGACAGTAGTAATCAATCGTAATCACGTCAACTTTGTCACTACACTCCCCCTCTTTATCTAACTAGAAATAACCTCGTACGTACCTAAAAATTTTAATAAAGAAAGAGACAATAAAAGAGTGATAGGGAAGAACGAAGGGAGAAAAGTTAGGACAATGACCTTGACTTTTGATTCTCCTTTACATATTACCCATTACCCATTACTTTGTTTGATTTACTAAATTTGTCTCTCTAATTTCTTGAAAATTGATAATGTAAACTAAGGTTTTTGATTTTTTTTCAAGTTAGTAGTCCATTATCCCTCTAAAATAACTATACCATCACAACAAAACCCCGTTACATTTCATCCATATCAATGATAGTGACTTCATATTACTGAATCTCATATTTCTGAAACTCATCGCATCATTTTTGGTTATCAACCCCTTATTAAAGGACAAACCAGTCCATATCGTCTTTTATTTTTCCTACACGTTAGGCATTTCCCACCAGTTTGAACGAAGATAAGGACCATTGAAATTTCTGGCATCCGCTCTACCCAAAGAATCCAAAGCAGTGCCATCGGTGGACAATTCCAAAATACATTTGCTTTGATCAGCAAAATACATTTGCTTCATTGTTCTTCCCAAAACCCCAAACTTAATCTACAACTTCTCCACTGTAGAAGGGCAACCCAAGTCTTACCAGTCACATTGAATAAATCATTCCACAAACCGTAAGCAAATGAAAAGTACATGGACAAATGAGAGGACAACAAACCAAACAAAGGCCTTGACATGGGAGGAAACTTTGTCTATGCAAATTAATTTGGCTAAAAAGAAAGACTTAGTATTCTGGGACCTAGGGAGTTTTGATTAGAACGATCAAAAATAGAAGGTACCTGATTTATCAACAATCCAAATCGTACAATCATGAGAAGAACAAGATGGAAATTGTGAATGGTAACAAGCAAAGAAGCTAAATCTGCTACGTCTCGATCATTCAGGCATCTCAAAAGTGAAGATCCCAAGAATAAAAGTCCACCCCCATAATAAGAAATGAAGATTTAGGAGCCCCAATGATAGTGATTTGATAGTGACTTCAATTGAGTTCCGTAGTTTGTCGTTGTACCATAAGATCACGGATTCGAATTTCACTAGGCTCTCCCTTATAAAAGTTTTAAAAGTGACCAAAAAGAGATTGATTTATTGTCATCTAGAACAATGAGGTTGCTCTATTAACATCTAGGTGTTGAGGGTTCGAATTGCAAAAACAACCTATCCACATACAAAGTATCACTATGTGTGTTCTGACCTCCCTCAAACTCTATAGTGATATGACGGGAGCCTCGTCTATTTGACTTTGTTTTCTTCAATTTTTTGATATTAGTTTATTGAATTAAGCATATTGTAAAATGTCTGTATTGTTATTCTTAGCACTTAGAAGTCTCAAGTTTTGGACTATTTTTCCATTTGTTGTCACTGATCAAAAGTCTTTAAGGTTATTATGAGTAGACTCGGTGTGTGTTTTTTTGGTTAAGATAGATGGGAAGGAATCCTACCAATTAAAGATTATTCAAATCTCACAATCAAAACAAAAAAAATAAGTTTTGAATGTGTATATTGTATTTTTTGTGGATTTGTTCACACCCTTTTTATTTTTTGGGTAAAGGCTACATACCAATTTTAATTTCAATGTAAGGATTTGGAAGTAAAAATTCCAATTATAAAGTAAAGGTTTCAAGCTTTAAACCCCTATTTCAATTCATACTTAAAAGTAAGAAGGTGGACAAGATATGAAGGCAGGGAGAGACAAAAATTATTGCTCTAGAGTTCCCAGTTGAATGACAATCATCAACATTCGTTACCACTTGCAAGCAGATAGAGTGATGGTTAACGATCTTCAAGCATTTAAATGAACTGTTAGTCTTAGGCTGTCTTCGTCGAGTTAGATAGGGAAGATTCAAGTAGAAGAACAGGTCTTATCTGCTAAATCAATCTCATCACATCTTCAACAATCTGCGCTATTCTCTAATTCCCTACTTGGGTCTCTTCGAAATTGCGGTTCGTTCATATATTGGCAGCTAATTTTCATGTATTTGTACTACCTTTTTTTTCTTTTTCTTTTTTTGTTGAAATCTTACTATTTTTAATTTTTTTCTCCAAAATATTAATATTTAATGCAGTGTTCAAACTTGTGATATCACTAACCAGCCATAAGCTAATTCAATCCTTTTCTTTTCCCCAAACATGGATTTGACATGACTGAATGATACACAAACATAAGGCAGCGTAACATTATTTTGACCAAGTATGCCACGAAAAATGTGCCATGCGGTCATTTTCTCCCTTGGATTTACCTTTGATTAAGAAGATTTTGAATATTTTCAATAAACTTTCTATTTTCACTCAATTCTTTATTTAAAAAGTTAATTAACAAAATTCATCTCCCATAGACTCTTTATTTAGATTAAGTAGAAATTCTAATTTGATTCTCTACATTTGAAGTGTCAAACTCATTCTCTAATCTATATTAATGAATGACAAAATGGCACGTACAAATTTCACAAAGAACAATGCTATAGGAACTTTATTTGGAGGTCTAATTAGATATCTAATTCAACTTAATCATTAGATAAGTTGTGAGAAGCTGATAGCTGATAGCCTTGAGCAGTAAAGAATGGAAGAAGCCGATAGCTGTGTTCTGTGTTATCAATCCCCGTTGTGAGTACGGTTTGTGTGTGTGTGTGTGTGTGGGGGGGGAGGGAGTCATTTGTTGTGTAAGAAGAAAGCAGGAATAAGACTGCCCATATGAGCAGTCACTTCTAATCTTCATGAGCAAATAAAACTGTGTAAATGATTGTCATCTTCAGTGTAAGTTTTGTCAGAATCTAGCAAAGAAATGGGGTATGTAAAAAGTGCATGCAACCAAAGAGTTTCCATGAACTTCAGATTAAGAAGTAATTTGGGCATGTCACCGTTGGAGGCATGAGGATCTTCAAATTCATGGTCTAACAACTGCCCTCATATGCCAAGCAGTGTTTATTTCAATAAGCATGATGTCGTGCAAAACATTTACTCACATGTAACAATGCTAACAAACTCAAGAAAAACAAAAACAAAAAGCAAAAAACGTTCATGGTACCTCAGATTTGCAGACTCGATGCTCCCTGAGTATCAAAAATGGAAATGAAATAGACTGGCTGAAGATGAAATAACAGAACCCATTTTTCAACAGACCTAGTGATACATTCTTCCCATTCTCAAAAAAGTAAAGCAGCGAATGGGACATCCCAAGCAAGCCATTAAGGCGCACAACGCTAAAGACATTGCCTACAATCTCCAGGGCAAATGTCACAGAAGGAAATAAAGTAATGAGCAAAATAGCACCTTGATATTCATCAATCCTCCTCAAGATTGATGGAATCCTTAAACTTGCCATACAAGATCTTCTTCAACTCAGCCATCTGCGCAAGTATTGATTCCTTCTCCTCCTCCAGTTTCTCCAAGTTTTGGCTGGTCACCTCTTTCATTTCCTCTATCCTGTTTTCGACTTCTTCCTTGGGTACATGAGCAAAAACCTCCCCTATCTGGAAGCGCACCAAATCCTCGTCAGTGAGAATTAGCTCATTGCTTGCATCCTCGAGATTTTCGTTTGTTTCCTAAACAGAAAAAGGAGACAAGGAAAAGCAAAAAGAAATTAAATAACAAGAACATGACAGAAAAGACTATACCACAAATAAGCATGTGTACATACTTCTTGCCAGAAATTGAGATTCACCAGGTGAAAGTCTTATGAAAAAAACAAATGGTCGGCAATCACTTAAACACGATTAAACCAAGGGAAACCCTACTAAATTAATACAGCTGAGAATCTTGCACAGGTTGGCTGACATCCTTGCAAGGACCCCTTCAACTTACAACAAGAAGCAGCTATATATTAATTTAATTTTCAGCTCTAGATCCTCGCTTGAAATTAACATTCTCAAAAAGAAATATGGACGCAAGATGACCCAAAACTTATGGACTTGGATTACCTCCAAACGGATGACCCAAATACCTTGCAGGCCACTCTGACATAAAACAACCAAAAGCTCCAGCCAATCTAACCAACTTCGTGCTGCCTCAATAATTCTAGCAATTGCATTTTTGGACATTTTTACTTCCAACCCAAAACCAACTCAAAACATTGCAATATTGATGAAATCGTATAAAAATACTTTTCATACCGCTCAAAGAAGAAAATTGTAGCATCTGCACACTGTAAATGATCACCTCAATCCTTTGCCTACCAATCCTAAAACCCTCCACCAAAGATTGACTACTAACCGTATTCATCATCCTACTCAAACCATCATCAACCAACTTAAAAAGAAAATGTGATCAAGGCTCACCCTGCCCTAGCCCTGTAGAAGCATCAGAACCTCCTCTCAAAGATTTATTAATGCTCAAGAAGAAATTCATATACCTTAATCATCCCATGATCTATGGTTGCCATCTCAACACAAACCCTTTCCTTTCCTGAACGAAATCCAAAAAATCCCAATCAACATTATCACAAGCTTTCTCAAAATTAACATTTAAAACAAGACCCTCCTTTTTCTTCTTAAAATCAAAGCACCTTAGTAGCTACCAACACCACATCCATAATTTGTGGGCCGCTCTTTGCATCTCCGAAAACGGTCTCATGCAAAGCATCATGAATTCTCCTTGACAAACTTTAGCCAAAATCTTATAAATGTTTGTCACTAAACTTATTGGCCTCAAGTCCTTAATAGAGGCCCTTTTTCAGGTGTACAAAAAACATGGCATTGGTACATAATTTCACTACATTCTCATGAGATTCTAAGGATAATTACGTTCAATCCTCTTTCATTACTTCCCAACATTTCTGAAAAGCTATCGTAATAAAATCACCTGGACCTAGAAACTTATCACCACTTAACTGAAACACTGTTGTTTTGATCTCCTCTTCTTCAAAGGTCTTTCAAGCCACACTCTATTACCAACAATAGAACTCGCTCTAAACCATCAATTCTAGGTCTCTCCTATCCATCCGAATAGTGCAAATTAGAAAATTAACAATCTCCTCCGTAATGAGGCTTACACACTCCACGAACACTCCAGACACCATTTAAATCTTGTAATCAGTTTGTTCTTTAACATTACATTTGCATTTTGCATCGAAATAATTTCCTCTTTTAACAACAAATCATTATATTTATTTCGAAACTCTCCTTGCTAAGATTGTCATTTACATCACCGGACGCTTCCAAAAAATCTATCTTCTCCATTCTCTTCACGATACCACCAAATAAGTCTCTCATTCCATTCTTCCATCCAATGCCTCACTATCTTAAGTTTCTTCATGAAAATAAATTCTTCCCATCCATCCTCCTCTGCCTTGAACCACCAACATTGAAAATTCATGACAAAAAAATAATGTTAGTCAACAAACATAGAAGGAATTGGTTCCCATATAATAGAGAGGTATATAGATCCACCAAATTGTGGGGAACATGAAACACCTCTTTGGCTCTTCCCAACCGTGCAGAAAAAAAATCTATCAACCTACAACATATCAACTTATCCTAAAAGATTAGACAGAGTAAAACTAATGACAAACAATGGATGATCTAACCATTGCATGATAATGATGGAATTTGTATTATTCTACAAGTTTAGACAAGAGTTATTGCGCTTCTTTTGAGCATATGATGCATTTTAGTGAGGTTTTAGTATTTCGGTCTCAATTGAGAGTGATGTGATTTTTATAGGAGATGAAGCCTGGAATTCAATACAAGATTGAGCATTCGAAACAAAGTTCAAATGTTCCAAAATCATTTAAGATGATTTTATGGTTAACATTTAAAAGGAAAAATGTTTAAAAGCATTATGGAGCTTAAAGAGAGCACTTTGGTCATTCAAAGTGAAGGTCAATTGAGTGAGGTCTTTTAGCACTTGAGTAGGATTATTTTTTTGCTTGTTGTTAGGAAAATCCAAAATATATGGTCGAGCTCCTTTGGCTAGCCGCTTGAGTGGCAATATGAAATTTCAGCTCCAATAACTACTAACTTGAAGGCTGCTTGCTAACCGCTCGAGCGGGTTATGGTAGAGAGTCCTATTTCATTCAAAATGGCAGTTTTTTCAAATTTTAAACCGTAGTTTCATTTGTTTTACTATAAAAATGTGTCAAACCTATAAAAATAGAATACTACAAGAAACCAATAGCCTCCAACACTGAGATTTTTTAGTTTTATGAATTCCAAGACTAAAAAGATCTTTGTTCACTTTATTTTTTTCATTATTATGGATCACTAAACTCCAAGCTATGCTAGGAGTGAAACTACTAATAAAGTATGCTATTTTCTCATAATCTTTTTTATGTTATTAAATGCATAATGTTTTTTATTTGATTTAGTGTCTCTATTAGTTACAATGAATGCTTGGAATTCACTATGAATCAAAGAACGGATTTTGTATATTCTGATCAATCAATTAGAAAGCACAGAGACTTCAACAAGGGGTGAAGTATTCATATCCGTTACGTATTAGATACAGATACGAGTCAAATACTCGATTATACGCATTTGATATGATCCACAACTAAGGAATTAGTAACACTACATTTATCCTTGTTGGATGCTTATGAGGTATATATCAGATGCTCATTATACTTAACGAGGTGGCTTGTGTTGATTTGAACTGGTCTTCGTGTTTAGTGGTTCGATGGGCTAAATTAGTGCTCATTATTGATTTTGCAGAGGATTAGATCTTTGGAAGTTTAATACAAACCTCCCTAGTAGAATCGTTTAGAAAATGAGTAAGGTAACACATTTTGGGGAGATAGGTATTGGGCTAAAAATCTAAGAATGGAATGAGGACTTCTCGAGCTAACCAACCAAATATTATGGCTTTCATTAAAGTTACATAAAGCATCGGATTGAACACACCATCGTGTGGTCCTTTAGAATTCTAGTTTGGGACTAATTTATCACCTAGCCCTTTGGATCCAAGTATTAATAAAGCATCCTGTCATTTTATTAATATGTTATATTATTATCAACAATTCTCGTATGATCATCCAAGTGTACGTTAAAAATCAAACTAGATGAGAGAGGGCTTGGAAACCCTTTCCTCTCCAAATACTTAATTCTTCTATTTTCAAATTATTTAATAGAACACACATTAGTTTCTACTAGTTAAATTCTCCCATTACCTTTGTAGTATGTAACTACTACAACCATTTTTGCCAATTACTCCACATTTAAATTCTTTTAAAGAATTAGTTGAGCATCCTAATGGGTAATTTTCAAAATAATTATAGAGTGGGAATGGAGTGAGTAGAGGTTGAAAATTTCAAAGATTGTATCTAATATATATCTTTGTAAATTAAACGAGTATCAATATCAAATACATATAAGACATGGATACTGGGATGAAACCAAAATTTTATCTTTGAGGGGGGCGGAGGGAAGCGTTATATGTAGAAATTCATGCCAATCCCAAGAACTATATGCATAGTCTATAAAACTATATCAACCGATGAATATATTTAATATAATCTACAATACAAAAAAAATAATTGAACAAACCAAAAAAATTTTAACAAATATCCCTCATTATTTTATTACAGTCGTACATAACATTTTTTTTATCATGGAATTCATTTATGATTAAATCTGTGCTAAAAGTTTTAGCAACTTCCTTTTCTATATATACAATCAATGAGTCTTCAAGAAAACCATCTATCTTGTTGCGAAGCCTAGTTTTGACAATGTTCATGGTTGAAAAAACACATAATTCATCAGAGAAGAAAAGAAAGGGCTTGATATTTTTTGACCCACGTTTTAACTCTGGTTAGTGCTTACTTTGGTTTGTTTTTGTTTCCTAAGTTAGGTGGGGCTCTTGGATTTCGTATGGATTTGTTTCAGTCTTATTTAATTCTTATAGTTTCAGCCAAAATTTCTGTTTTAAATGAAGAGAAAGTCTTTGTAGTTTAGTATAACAAAAATTGTAAGGGAATTTGACCAATACCTAAGAATTATAATACTTTCACAGTTGCCAAAAGATTGTAATATTTTACAACCAATAGACTACTCTGTTAAGAAAGTAAGGCATCCGTGGAATAAGGCTTTGAGATAGGGGAGCCAGTACAGTAAGAGGCAGGGTTTAACTAGGATACCTATAGGTGTTAGAGAAAGTATTTGCTCTTTTTTTTTTTTTTTTTTTTTTTTTGGTGGTGGTGGGGGGGGGGGCTAGGCCATTGAATGGTTCAGTCCCTGCATGGATACCTCATCCTAGTTGAAGAATAGGGGCTTCACAATCTCTCACCAACTCCCATTCCAATAATATTTCAATCCAAAAACCATTTGGGCAATCCACACAAGGCCAAATAGTAACACCACATACTAAATTTTGTGATCGCAATCTCACATCCAA